TGAATACAACCGAAGAAGAGTCTCTGTCTGCTAAAGTGAAGCATTCGAAAATATCAGGCAGGTTTTATTTAAATCACAGTTTCCATGATACCTGTTATTGAGATTACTAAGGGCACGTTTGCTGTCATTCAGCCTCATTGAATATATTCTTCTTAATTACTGTTTATTTCGAGTTTAATTCTGTAGTGCTGAATAAGACTGAAAACATCCAGACACATAATTGTTATGATGAAATGATAAAACATATATATAATAGAACTTCTTGCTCATAACAGTAATCAGAATTGTCTGAAAGACATCACCAAAACAAAGAAATGTAATTCAACCTAATTTATCTTCCAGACTTATCCAGTTTTCAATTGGGAAAGTATGGAAGAAATATAGAGGAAGGCTGCCCTCTACAGTTTACTTAAATCACACACAGGGCTCAAGCTGTCCTGAATCAGGATTCATTTGTCAAACATTATGGAGACCTTTGTTGTGCATTTGGGTCATTTCTGTTATGCTGTCCTTTTAAACTCAAACTTAAATATATATATATATATATATATATATATATATATATATATATATATATATATATTGTATACCTTTGTTTTAATTTAAATAAGTATTTACTATTTAAAGGGGTTCAACACCACAAAACATTACAGAATTCATAAAATCCAGTGATTTTGCTTGTTTGGGCTCCTGAACAAAACCATCAAACTATGTAACCTCCATGATGATGTACTTAAGGAGCTGGTTTTAGTTAAAGGGCAGTTACCATTCATCAAATTGTATAATTGTCTGCAGGCATTAGAGTTGTTTGAAATATTTTTAAAACTCTTGCTGTTTTAATTCTCAAAACTTGTTTGTATTTTCAATTTACTACATTGCATTTCTATATACATACTATATACTTCATTTTCCTCTTCTGTTTAATTTTGTTTCTCATTGTTATTTGTACCTGTCTGTATATTGTTTTGCATTAATAAAAAAAGATAAATAAATAAAAGGGAAAACCAAGAAAATAAAATTTTCCAAGAAAATAAAATAGACCAACCAACCAACCACCAAGTCAGAAGTCAAAATACCTGAGAGCATGCCAAATTACATCTTTAAAAATTTGTTACGTCGTTTAGTGTATAGTTTAAATAGGCCTATAAGCCTAGTTTACAATCAAATTATCTGCAGTGTTATTTTAATTACCTCGTCTGTCGACTTGATGCCGGTTAATTGCAGTGCTGGTGCAAACATATCCACATCGCTATGATCCGATGCGTTCTTAACTGCCGCTTTCTCACAGCTGTCATTTTTGTTGTGTGATTATTTTGTTATTGAGAGGAAAGCGCGCGAGCAGTGCAGAGACGTCTGCCAGCGTGGATGGCGTGAGGATGAAGTTCGTAAACATTATGCTACAGCTGGAAAGGTATTTCCAACTTCTTTTAACTTCTAGCTAAGCGAAGATCGAAAAAAGAACTTCATGTGAGAATATCGGGACCTTGAATCACGTTCAACCTCTTGTTCTTGAGTCCGAGGCCTGCGAGCACGAGCAATAAGTTGCTGGCTGCAGTTCACATAACGGCCACTGGTATCGCTAATAACAAGGGTTTCTGAATTCTTTAATATTTTATCACGTTTTATCATATTTGCTTAAAGGGGTCATATAACGCCATTTTTGTACAAGCTAATATGATTCTTTAGAGTCTAAATTAAAACTTTGTAATATACTTTAATTAAAAATTCTCATTAGTATTGTAAGAAAACACTTATTTTACCTGGTCAAAAACAGCTCTGTTTTCAGCACGCCGTTTCAGTGCATATGACTTTAAATGATAATGAGCTTTGCTCACCCCGCCTCTCTGTTCTGTATACACCGTTTGTAACACAATAACCATAACGCGTTGTTCATTATAGACGTGGGATTATGAATTATATTGAGAACGTTGTACATAGAAAACATGCCGTAATGTACCCTGAGTGTAAACCTTAGACGCATTCATTGTGAAGCGTGCATCTAGCGATTTGCAAAGATTAATATAAATATTAAAGATTAATAAAACGTTACACTCACTTCAGTTATTTTGGAGGTTCAGCAGGAACACGAATAGTTGGTACCGGTCCAGGAGCAGCTTCTTAGCAAAACCAGCTTTATACTGACCCTCCTCGTTTATAAGCAGTCTGGTGTGTGAAATGATTCGCGCAAACATGAGAGCATTGACGTTGCTCGTGGGGAATATTCCCTTCGAAAACAAACTCAGCCACTGCGTCTTCAGCGGTTCGGATTTAGGAACATTAAAATCCAGAACACCACAATCGCTTAGACGCCATTCTGCTCATAGACAGTGCTCCAGCATATCAACAATGACCGCGCCGGTCCGCGCAGACTATGATTGACAGCTGGCTCACGAGCGAGGGCGGGTCTGTGTTGAAACCCGGCTATCAATCAACAATCGCGGGAGGGGCGTCCGACCGTGTGACGTCACACGGTCGAACGGCTCGATTTGAGGCAGGGGAAAACATATAAGGAGATTAAAACAAAAACACTGGATGGATTTTTATCATTTTATGAAGGGTTGTGTACAGGCACTGCCAACACACATTTCAGTACAATCAACTTGTAAAAGTGCATGTACCATTATATGACCCCTTTAAATAAATGTGTTATGTGCATGAGAGCAGCAGAGAACAATCTTTATCCATATGTTTACAATTGTGAGTTTAAAATTTTTATTATCATTATAGCTTGTATGTCTCTCTGAACACTGAAGAGACCCATAGTGTTCATGTATGAAAACAGAACACTGATAACATAACTTCAGTGCACACGTATTTCTTTGTTTATTAATCGTTATAAATCTTCTTGGATGAACTTGAAAAGTGACCGCATCCTGATGTTTGTATTCACATTATACAATCGAAACGTATAGCCTATAGGTTTCAGAATTGCAGGTTATTTCCTCCAGGTCTCTGTTGGGAGGTAATAACCTTGCTCTGTCTCAGATTATAGCTAAGCTGGATGTGAGTTAATGCTGGGACTCAGATACCCGTCTCCATCCTCAGGACGTTCTTCAAGGGTAGAGGGAGGAGGATGATGGGAACGTGTGTTCTGATTATGGATAGAAGTCTGTCAAGGAAGTACCTAAACACATGCTTGCCTTTAAAGTCACCATGAAATCAAAATCGACAGTTCTTGTTTCTTAATGGAACATTGCAGTATTTATTATAAATGATTTATCCGTGTAGCCACATCATTATTTTTTTAATTCATGTGCCCGCATAATCTTTAATTAAAATAACCTTTGCAGCAACATCTCTTCTCTTCTCTGATGACACGTTTACTGGCTCGAGGGCGGGACAACCTGTCACTCACATGACATCACAACAATAGCAAATCACAACAATCCAATCAATTCCAGATGAACCAAATCAAGTTCTGCCCTACATTTTTTCTTGTTCGAGAAGCCGTTTCACTCATAGGCGTCACAATAAGGAAAGAAAAGACTTGGTTCCTACTGTGACTCTCAAACTAATCCTGTGTCTTTTAATTGACATTACGTTGCACAATACTTCCCTCATTGGCCCAATTCCCTTGTTACTACAGTACAGGTTGAATGAAATTAAAGTTGGAAGTTTACGAGGGCACAAATCATCACCCCACTGTTAGGTCATCGTATGGGCAGATGAATGGCTCCATGTAGTTTGGAATTTATCCCTGTGTATATTGGGAGTAAAGAGTCTAATCTCATAAGAGGCTCAAGCCGCTCGAGGCCGCATGGAGAAGAGGAAGAGAGCGAACAGAAGCGGTGTAGTTTCACACTCTGATTGTGTCTGCCGTATCACACCACTCTCGGGATTTTTCTGTCGGACATGTCACTTGAGGTTGGGCGTCCCAATGCATTGAGGATGCGGTGGGTTGAGGAGAATCCTGGAGCGTCTTTCATGGATTTACCAGGATGTTTAGGTTCATGCGCTTGAGTTGTATCTGAGGTTCGTACATGCAAAATGCATTTGAGCAGTTGTCACTCAATTTAGATATTCATTAGTCTTTTTTTTATAACTTTATAATTAAATAAAAAAATAGAGAAAACTAATTCTGAAGGAAAGCGTCTTGGTTGTGTGCAGACCAGTTTTAAGTACCACTGAAATGCTATTTTAATTATTCTTTTAATAAATTTTTTATTTATTTAAATGTGAATTAAAGTTTTATTCATTTTGTCGTGTGTTTTTTTTTTCATTTTTAACAAGTATAAATTGTTTATTAATTTTTATTTAAAAAATTTTTTGTGTTATTTTAGGAATGCTGCGTTGGCAACTATTGAATAAAATAATTTTTTTAATATTTTATTTCAGTTCGTTTTTTATTTTTATGGTTATAACTATAACTATTGAGCGTAATGCAGACAGGTATTTCAAATATTTTCGCTAAGCATTTTGTATAGCTTAATATTTCTATCTATTTTATCTTATAAAACACTGTCAAACTCAAAAATAGAGTAAACATTTTCTAAAAGGAAGTGTCTTGATTGGATGCCATATGAGATACTATTATTATTACTATTAGTATTATTATAGTTCTCATTAATATTTTGAATTAGTTTTTATTTTCATATTTGCAATTTTCAGTTTAATTTCAGTTTTTTTGTTGTTGTTGTTGTTGTTGTTGTTTTTGATAGTTTTTGTCATTTTAATTTTTCTTTAAAAAAGTATATATATTTAATTTATATAGGCCTAATACATATAATATACATTAAAAATATATACATTTATTAATTTTGTTTCAGTTTTAGCTATAGCAAAAGTTATAGTATATCAAATAAAGCTAAATGAAAGCGAGGAATGCTGTCTTGGTAACTAGAATACAATAATTTTTGAGTTATTTAATTTTTTTCAGTTAAGGTTTATTTTATTTCAAGTAACAAAGTTTTAGTTAACTAATAAACCCTATGCAGACAGGAATTTCTAATATTTGCTGAATATCTTATTAATATTTGTATCTATTTTGTCTCTCCAGTGCAGAGATGCCGTGGCTGATTATTGAGACTAGCTGCAGCCTGATTGGCTGGTTCTTTCTGTACGTGTTGCTGTGTCACTTGAACAGTGATGGAGATTACGAGTGGAACTGCAGGCTGGTGACTTTGCTCCATGGCATCCTGAGCGTCTGTGTGACTGCCTACATTGGGTTCATTGCTGGGCCATGGCCTTTCACGCACCCAGGCAAGTTGTCCTGTCTTGTTTTGGAACCTTTTTTACTTCAGTATTGTGACGTATTTCCGAATTAAAAGATATATTGAATGAGAAATAGAGGAATTGATTTTAGTGCATATCTAGCTTGCAGCAGACTGATGATTTGAGGATAACAATATTCTGTCCAAGCCGTCAAACTGACATCATCAGAAAAGGAACGTCCTTCCTGAGGGGAAGCACATTTTTCCTATTTTGACTAAAGATTACGAATTTTTCTTGCACGAATTAATTGTTCAGCACAACAAGACATGTAAAATACTTGTTCAGCACAACAAGACATGTAAAATACAAGACAATATAAAATGAATAGGTTTCGTTTTTATTTGTAGATTTGGACCCCAAAGCAGGACTTCTAAATTAATTTACCAGATCATTTTTTTATGGAAGTTTATTGAACCCCCCCCCCCCCCCCCCCTTAGGTTTAAGGGTGAGGTCAGCTCAGGTTATATTAGAATTTTATATTATATTATATTATATTATATTATATTATATTATTGTGACGATCTGTGGCTGGAGTGCCCGCTTGAGCCTCTGGCGGGCACTCCTTCCTAGTTTATTAATTCCATCATGTTTCACCCTGGACTGATTATGGTTTATTTTGTGCACCTCTGTTTGATTATCTGGTTTTAGCGCACCTGTCTTAAGCCTGAGTGGCCCTTTGTACCTTTGCTCAGTATTGTATGTGTCTGACTGCATTACCTAGCCTTGTTCAAGTTTCCTTGTATTCTAGTGTTTCGGTTCCCTGATTATCTGCCTGTTCCTGGTTTCCCGTTTGCCTTATCCCTGCACGGATTTGATGTTTGTTTGGACTGCTTACCTGGTTTTGACCCCTGCCTGTTTCCTTGTACCTGTCTCTGGATTCTCCTCATAATAAAGCCTGCGTTTGGATCACCTCTGTCCTTGTTCCCTGTGCAGTTTCATGACTATTATATTATCAATTCATTTTATTATTTTATTTAAATTACCCTGTCAAGCATGACTTATGAAATAATAGTCCGGGAATAAAAAAGTCATATTTTTTTTTTATTCTTAATTTCCACAACATTACATAATAACATTTTATTATTTTTAACTACATACATATTAAAATTTGATTCATTTCCACAACTTTTCCATAACATATTAAAATATGATTAATTTCCACAACTTTTCCATAACATATTAAAATATTAATTTCCACAACTTTAGGAACAGTTTATAGAACCTTCAGACAAAATAATAATAATAATGATAATTATTGAATATATCTATTCAATTTAAATAATTAACAATAAATTCCATAAAATGAATAATACTAATAATACTAATACAGAACTGAATTTTAAGTGCTATAAAATAGTATAAACTGCTAGTTTATATACTCAATCCCCTTGTCTCATGAGAGTTAGGGACCGGACCGCTGTTTCTATGAATGCAGCAACCAGCACCATCGCTGATCCGTACAGATCATATCTCCACATTGTTTAATGTTAGAGTAATTGTTTATAAATTACAACGGTCTGTCAAGCCTTTAAGAATGAATTAGATGTGACTTCTGACTCTCTTGTTTCCAGGCACTGAAAACACATCTCTCCAGATCCTGGCTCTTGTTCTCAGCTTGGGATACTTCTTCTTCGACATGGCTTGGTGTGTGCATTTCCGCACCGAGGGTCTGGTGATGTTGGCCCACCACACCATGAGCATCTTCGGGATCCTGCTGGCGCTGGGACTCGGCGAGTCGGGCATCGAGACCTGCGCTGTGCTCTTCGGCAGTGAGATCACCAACCCGCTCCTGCAGGCCCGCTGGTTCCTCAAGCGCATGGGCCGCTACGACAGTTTAGCTGGAGATGTGGTGGACCTGCTCTTCATTCTTCTGTTTGCCTCTGTGAGGATCGGGGTCGGGAGCAGAATGCTGTACTGTGAATTAACCTCTCCAAAGCCATTGTTTATAGTGAAGGTTTGCGGGGTGGCTATTTACACTCTCTCCTGGGTCTTCATGGTGGACATTGCACGTTTCGCCTGCAGGAAAACTCGCACCAAATACAGGCGATGGAAGGAACGGTACAAGCTGGAGGATTGTAATGGACATGCTGTTAAAGTGAAATAGACCATTCTGTGAACAAATGGCATATCTGTTGATATATGTAGCTAGAAGGATCGTGTTAAAGGGATAGTTCAGCCCAAAATGAAAATTCTGTCATTATTTACATTGTTTACCCTCAAGTTGTTCCAAACCTGTATGAATATCTTTCTTCTGCTGAACACAAAGGAAGGTATTTTGAAGAATATGGGTAACCAAATAGTTGATGGACCCCTTTGACTTCCATACTATGAAAAAAAAAAAATACTAAGTAAATCTTTTTTTGTGAAGAAATTCATACAGGATTGGATCAACTTAATGACAGAATTAACATTTTTGGGTGAACTATCCCTTTAACTTAACATGGTTTCTACACCTTTTCACATTTACATAAAAGTTGAAATATTTAAAACATATCAAAACGTATATTTTATTAGGCTATTTCCAATTCCTGACTTTGCCAAAATTTAATATTTACTTACCACACTTTTTTTTCCCATGACATATTAGGATTTTATTTATTTCTACCACATATTAAGATTTTATTCATTTCCACAATTTTTCCATGACGTATTAAGATAATCATTTTCAGGACTTTTTCTTGTTAATTAAGATTATATACATTTTCATGAATTTGATATGACATATTAAGATGTTAATACATTAATTTCTAAAACTTTTGCATGACATATTAAAATGTAAATTTTCACGACTTTTCCATTAAATATTAATACATTATTAATTGCCTTGACATATTAAGACTTTATTTATTTCCTCAACTTTTGCAAGACATAGGCTATTAAGATTTTAATTGTAACTACTTTTTCATGACATATTAAGATTGTATTCATTTCCATTGCTTTATACCATATTACTATTTTCCTTGACATTTTAAGATTGTATTAATTTACACAACTTTTAATGGCATATTAAGATATTAATTCATTTTCACAACTTTTGCATGACATATTAGGACTTAAAATGTCATGACTTTTCTGTGACATATTACGATTTTATTCATTTCCATTACTTTTCCGTAACGTATTAATATATTTTATTCATTTATGTGACATATTAAGATTTTATTAATTTTGATTACTTTCCCATGACATATTCATATTTTATTGACATTCCAAGGTCTAGAAAACAACTTTGAAAATCCCACATAAATGTGAATTTTAATGAACCAAAGAGCTCAAAACCACTACACATTTACACGAATGTGCAATCAAACAGAAAAGTACAATGACAATGAGAGTGCACTCATGTTTCACATCTGCTATTGCTATTGAGCCTGTGAACGAGAGAAGGGTTTCTTGTGCAACGTCATTGCCTGTTACTGCAAAAGCTGATACTGTATTTCCTCAGCAGACAGAAATTTCTTTTCTTCAGTATTTCCTTTTGCCCCCACCTTCCTCTCAAACATCTTCTGTGAAGCCTGTAGAATTAAACCCGCTTCACACTCTCTTCCCAGATAGTAATTGGTTAGACAGGTTTAATGACACAACTTAAATTCTCCACTAACCTCTTGGTCTTGTGGATTTTCAAATGGTTTCTTGTCACACTGCAAGACCACCAACTTCCTTTAGGAATCATATTTGTATATTCTTGAGGCTAAAGTTATGAGTAATGGTCATTGAATCTCAAAAGAAAAGATTTAAGCATATTTTCTGTGATCTGTTTGGACTGGTATATCTCTCTTTTATAGACACTAAACAAGAGGATGGAAGATATGTGTGTTAGGCCACTGTATAGAAGAATCTTGAAATGTTAAAAATGGCAAACTATAATGCAAGAGGCCTGTTTTGAATGTAACATGTAGGCCTAGATTTTTTAGTATGTATGAGTCCACATATAAAGCCTCTCTGCACAAACAAAATACCATTCTAGATATATTTGGTCATTAAACGTATCCGTGGATTCAGATGGGATACTATTTGAATGGTATTAACCAACTGCTTCTTCTTCTTCTTCTTTTTGTTCTGGCCTGATTAGTAAAAGAAACTTTAAATAGACCAAATATTTTGTTAAAATATTTTCTGGACCTACAACTTCTTTTTTTTTTTAAGTTGTTTTATTTATTATAATTGTATTAAAATTGTCTTGTGACAGATGGGAAAACCCTGCCAATATCAGTATCCCTGTTCACACATGAGCTAAATTATTTACAGATTATTGTTCAATGTTACCGTGGGATCAGAAACACTAGAAATGTATCTATTCATTGATATCTATTCAATCTATTCATTGATATTCACAGATATCTATTCATTCATTCTGTTCAAAACGTTTGAACCGCTAGGTGGCGCAAAAGATTTAAATATGCTCCTTTTCACTATTGACCAATAAATCACAGCTCTTGTATCAGTGTCTTTTATTCAAAATTAATTATTTCTGTTTTATTTCCTCCTTATTTGGTATTTTATAGATTATAACTCTAGCAGCTCTAGGCCTATTTGTTTAAGACAACATGACCATGAATAAAGGCCAGGTTATATTTGTTTTGTTGTTGTTGTTGATGATGATGAATATTACAATACAATTATATGATGAATATGAATGTATATGAAAGTTACAAATGCTTAATTGATTTCAGCATTCATTTAGCCTAACTATGGAAATGCTTCTTTCGAATACATCATTAACTTACATCATTAGTGACTTGTTTATTCTTTGCCGTTTCTGGCTAATCTGTAAACCAACTAACTTGATTTACTGGTTTAAGTGAGTGAGTAATGTTCTTAATTTGCCACTGACAACAACTAGTCTAGTCTACAACCTAGTCTACAACACTTGGGAGGCGATATTGCTGTTTGCGGAAGGATACGCAAAAGGAGGTGAAGCGTCGCAGGCTCGCAGCAGGCGTAGGAATCCGGGATGTGATTTTACTGAAAGTCAGGAATTATCTGGATTTTTGTGATTTTTTTCTTAATCGTTTTTAATCTTCGTACAGCGCGAAACTGACACATGTGACAACACATATGCGTGTGTTTTCTTCATTTGTGTTTGTATAGAGACTGAATTCTTGGTGCACAGATTCTGGTGGGGAAAAAACGGCTAAAAACTACTGAATTTTGGAAAACATGGAGACAAGAAGGGAAGGACCCGACTAAACCAAAGTTTCCAAACAAATTATCCCGGGAAAAGCGGGAATCCGTTCGCGAGAGGAAAATATGTGTAGCACATCCGTCAAGTGTGGATTGTATTTTATTGCCGCTTTGAAACGAAGCTTTTTTTGAGCAGAATTCCTGAGCTGGGAACTATACCGCTGGTCCTAGCACAAACATCAAACGATTTGTAAAGTTTTCTCCCGATTTTGTAGTGGAAAATGTGGGAATTCTGGAAGTTGGACTAGGTATGAGAGGAATTACGATGAAAGGTTGAACCGTACGGCTGCTTTAATCCATCGTTTGAGCGAATTTCCCCAGATTTCCACACATTGGAGTGGACAGGAAGGATACATCTCATTCTTATGGAGAAAAAGTCCATTCAGCGTGTAAGGGGCCTAAAAAGGATGTATATTTAGTTTACAGACTAACTTTACAGTATTGCAAACTTACGTTTTTTTTTTTACAGTAGAGAAATTCGCTTATGGAATTCGGTTCTGTTTAGGAATGCCGATTTGGAAGTATGTCGTGTTGGAAATGATAGAAAACCACCGAGACGTACGAAGTAACAATTGGGACTGTAAAATGAGCCAAGAGCTTTTGGACTGACGTGAAATGCAACCGGACAGTCTCTTTCATTCGTAAGGCAACATTTTAACAAAAGATTGTTCATCTGAGTTTACTTCCAGTCGTGGTTTGGGATTGACAAAGGCGACTGTATCCAGACAGAGGCGAGGGGGAAGCCTGTCGGGCTGTGTGGTGGCATTTTGGCTGGGAAAATGATGAAGCGTCTCAGACAGACAGAAAGAGTTTTCCTCCATTGATCATCTGTGTTTGCTTTTAGCATCGATTTCCTTTACTAACTCTTTGATATATGTAGAGCTACAGTCAAATGACACAGCATAGTAAAACCAACACAGTCAAACCGTGGAAATATAAAACATAAGCTTGTATCTCTCTTCCATTCAAGAGGAGACATTCCCGAAAACATCAAGACGGAACTGTCAAAATTCAAAAGTGCCACTCGGCTGTTGTTGTTGTTTTTGTTTGTTATTTTCTTTCGAATACAAAGGTGTTTTACCATGGTAAAATGCTAATTGGATAAAAGCTGAAGAAAATCAAGAAAGGAAAGCCCAATGAGCGGCACACAGTCCACGCTTGCTGAGAGGTAAATGATGACATCATATTTACATGATTGTGTTTATGATAATGATAGTGATCTGTCATAGGTTTATAACACTGTTTATACACATCTAAAACACTATATTGTTGATGTTGAGATGAATCTGGCAGCCTTCAATAAAATGTAGGCTACTTGTGGGAATACATAAAGTGTTTGGATGTTTACCTTAGTAATACCATGGTATTCTTATAAATACCTCGGGATACTATGTACACACTTTGGTATTTATATAATTGTTATTAGCTACCATGGTTTATTAGCAAATTACCATGGTGTAACTGTACCATGGGTGTTGTTTTAAAGGAATAGTTCACCCAAAAATGAAAATTTTGTCATTACTTACTCACCCTCAAGTTGTTCCAAACCTGCATGAGTTTCCTCCTCCTGTTAAACACTAAAATATATTTTGAAGAATGTTGGTAACCAGACAGTTGACGGCATCCATTGACTTCCATAGTAGGAAAAAAAAAATACTATGGAAGTTAATGGGTGCCATCTGGTTACCAACATTCTTCTAAAAATTTTTCAAAATATCTTCTTTTGTGTTAAAAAGAAGAAACTTATACAGCTTTGGAACAAAATGTCGGTGTGTAAATGATTACTATTTTTTCCTTTTTGGGGGAACTATCTCTTTAAAGAGCTCAAATATACACAGAAATGTACTATGTTAGGTAACATGGTAGCACGGTATTCTTCGAAATACCTTTGAGTACCATATAAATACCATCACATGAATATGCTAATCATTTAATATCTCAATACACCTCAGCGTACCCTACCCTGGTACTGCCATGGTACTTTTTAAGTAAGGCGACTTAGTCACCTGTTGAAATGGGTATAAAATCTGAATAAGTTTCTCCATACAAAACCCAAAATGTTCAGTGTTTAAGATCTCTTTAAGATCTAAAACCGATCTTAAAGAGCATGATGGGTAACATTGTCACAAGTGCGATGATCCAGTTTTGTGAGACGTGCCGTCAAACCTGTTTCTCTCAAAATTGTCAAGTTGATAAGAAAACTGGTGACCTTATGACCTTGCAGCTCAAATTTACTTGATTTTTTCCCAGATAAGCGTAATGTACGTGAATATTTTTTTCTAAGCAGAACCACTAATTTATTGTGACAGTGCGTGGTTTGTGTGTTTGTATATTGTTTTGGTAGTGCACTAGTCACTCAGAATGACCCAGAGAACTGTGAGTGATGGAAAGATCTGAATTGGATCTTTAAATCCCGTTCGGTAAAAGGAACGAATCTTTATTCAAGTAATTTCGTTCATTTGAGCAGAACTAAATTAAAATGTTAGCCTACATTTTCAATAGCCAGATTCTTCCAACACATTTTTTTCTGCAAACTTTGATCATATTCTGAAAAATGGAGGGGGAAAAAAAAGATAATGCAGCCAATGACAAATTATGATAAACAGTCCGAGTCACCCATTCTTTTGTCACATGACAGATGCATAGTACAAGAAACAGAATTGATTAGGCCTAGTTCACCTTTTGACTCTGGTTCGAGTCGTTCCTTGTCACGTGAGAGGAATGAAAATGAACTAATTGTTCATGATCGACCCATCACTATACCTGTGAGCCCACAGCTTGTGACAGGAAGCACTTTAGATATGCTGTCATCTCACTGTGTTCTGCTAATGCTGCTCTTAAGACTCAGTGTGTCTCTTGTTGTGGTTTTACACGTTTTGAGTTGTTACCTGCAGTGCTCGACCAGTCGCACACATTAGAGAACGAAACTCAGAAGATGCTGAGTGCAAATGTGTCATCTTATCTGTGTGCAGTTGTACCTTGGTGTATGTTGTGTGACATATGTGTTTTGACACCTATGCTTTTTTAAAATTATTTCCATCTTGCATATTGCAAATAGTACAGATGTAGTGCACAGCAGGTCAAGCATTGTTAAAAGCGCTATATGAGGATGACTTGACTTGACTAGCTGCTTTTGTAAGGTGATGTTCTATGATAGTCAAAACAGGTCGTTTCCTCAAAGGCAAGAACAGGGCACTTGCTCTCAGTAAACATTACCATCTACTATCAGGATTTCATAGATCGACATTTGCATTATTGCATATTTGAGACGCATTTATTTTGAAAAGGAAAGTTCAGATAAGCTTCTGTGTTGCGTGTGTTCAGAAAAAAATAAAATTTTTTTTTAAAGGGTTAGTTCACCCAAAAAAGACTTTCGGTCATCTTTGGAACACAAATGAAGATTTTTTTTTTTTTTTTGATGAAATCTGAGAGCTTTCTGTTCCTCTATTGACAGTCTACTCTGCGCAACTACCACTTTGACGCTTCAAAAAGTTCATAAAGAGATTGTAAAACTAATCATAAGAATTAAACGGTTTAGTCCACATTTTCTGAAGAGACACGATCGCTTTATGAACAGATTGAATTTAGACTTTTAAACATTCATCAATGAACATTTAAACAGAAGCTCAACTGAACCTGCTTGAAGTGCGAGAACAAACCTCATTGGTTCTTGCGGAAGCTCAAACGTGCTGCGTAACACTAGAACAAACCTCATTGGTTCTTGCGGAAGCTCAAACGTGCTGCGTAACACTAGAACGAACCTCATTGGTTCTTACACGAACATGCTTGAGCTTCTGTTTACCAGAACTGATGTGTGAGTTGATAAATGTTATATGTGAAGCCTAAATTCAATCAGTTCATCATATAAAGCCATCGTGTCTCTTCAGAGAAAAATGGACTAAACCACTCATATTCAAATGGATTAATTTTACATTAGATAAGTGGTAGTTGCGTAGCTGTCAATAGAGGGACATAAAGCTCTCAGAGTTCATCAAAAAGAGCTTCATTTGTTTTCTGAAGATGAACGAAAGTTTTACGGGTTTGGAACGACGTGAGAAACGACCCATTTTTTGGGTGAACTATCCCTTTAAAGCAACATTTGTTGCCACTGAAACTTTGTATTAAATTTTCTGTAGTATTGTAAATTGAACTGGCTACACAAGTTCTGATTCACAAATTGAGTCTTTTAAAATGGGGGTGTGGTTTCAATTGCATTATCGAATTATTGAATGATCAATGTTTTGTTATTTCCTTTTAGTGCAGTCCTAAAATATTTCTTTTTAAAAATAAAATAATTTAAGTAAAATTACATAAATTGATGTTGATCTGTTTTATTATAAAAGCTTTATGCATAGCATAGCACCTTATTGGAATCGAAATTAGGAAATGATAAGAATGGGATTCAATCAGAATTGGAATCGATATTAAGCGTAATCGGAATCATTAAAAATTCAAACGATACCCAACCCTAATCTAGGATGCCTAAATGTTTTTCTACAAAACTCCATTATGTTTTTTTTTTGTGATGATCTGTTTTCAACATAAGAAATGTTACTTAAGCACAAAATCAGCATATTACAATGATTTCTGAAGGATCATGTCTAATAACTATAGTGATGGATGCTGAAAATTCAGCTTTGCATCACAGGAATATTATAAATAGTACATTTAAAATATACTAATAGAAAACCATTTTAAGATATTTCATACTATTACTGTTTTAACTGTATTGTAAATACACATAAATGGTGGTGTAAAGTGTGTATTGAGTTGTATAAATACGATGACCAAACCTATACATAATGGACAGACAGGGACTTGGATGTTTTCTCAATGGCTTTTATTTGCTGCATTTGTAGACTGTTTTTCTTCGCTGGGCGGCTGGAGTTTTGGCAGTGAGTTCAGAGGGCATGTTGGCATTTTTAGAGGAGAATTATTCTTTCGTCTGTATTCTAGTTTCTCCAGGCTCTTCTCTGAAGACGTCTCACCAAAGCAAAGCTCCGCTCACCTCTCATCATTTGTCTGAATAACTGTCTGGCAGTAGCGAGTGAGTCAGAAGCCTTCTTCTTCTGGAAAGCTTTTGTACGTCACCACACACCACTTTAATCTCAAGGCTTCACAAAAGCTTTTTGTGTTTTTAAAAATAGTGCAGATGTGAGAAAGCAAGTTATGTATCTGTTGGGTTTCATAGCAACACAACAGCTGTGTCCGAAACATAAGGCCACTGCCTTGATGACTTCACAGGTGGTGTTTTTGTGGGAAAACGCCTAATAAGGAAGCTAGGTTCAGAAACCATAACTGCATGTCTAATGATCTAGAACAAATTAATGTAACGAATTAGTCATATCCAAGCAAATGTTTATTGACTACAATACTTATTTCTCACTAGAACTAGAATCGTGAAAAAAAGAAAACTTTAAAATTTAGGCTACCTCTTTAAACAATTCTTTTTTATTATTAGGCCTATATATATATATAAAAAAAGCATTTTCCTTGTGCCTTGGTATGGTCTTACTTTTGTTTACTGGCTATGAAGACAAAATTTTTCAGGTTTTGGACAGCCAATTATGTGTGACATTAGGCTAGCATAACTAGACGCTTCGTACAGTATGCTTGTTTGATGGGGACATTATTTTTTATAACTTGCGAAATTCAGATGTTTTCAGTATTATGTACTGTAACATCCACTAAATAATATACGAAACATTGCAATGCAAACATGATGAGCTTGAGTCCTCATAACCTCCCAGATATTTATAGCTGAAATGATATATCTAACTAACATCAACTAAATAGACACGAAAAATGTTTGTGTTCTTATCTGACTTCATGTGGCAAGAATCATGGCATTGAATGTTTGCTGAAGGCTGTATCGTGCAGCTTGCTCTTTGTCACAGCATTTCGCTGATCTGTGGTCTTTTTTTTTTTTTTTTTTACCCCCGAGGCCCTCTCGGGAAGTGGTGACATCACTAATAAACAATGTCTGTCAACTGGGCCAGGCCACAAGCTCTTCCTGACAGAGCTGCCAGCCACCAGCAGTGCATTATGGGAATAAATTGAGTTGCTTTGTTACTTTATTTGTCACATGGCCATTCTGTATGAATTCAAATAAGAGAACCATATAGGCAGTGGTAATGGCAATGGATTATAGGCTAGCGGAGTGCGTTT